AGGGAGAAACAGAATTCCTGGGCTAAGGGGGAAAGGACGCTAATAGTCTGATAGATAAGGTCTGTTTCCACTTGAAGAACCTATGACTCAGCAATGTCCACCTCCTCTCTCCACACAGGCAGGGTATGACTAGTAAATGGCAGCTATAGCTGTGTGTATGTGCGTGTTTGAAGGCCATCGCCTCTCACAATCATCCTGTACATGATAGAATCACAGGAGTTAGTAGTGAACTTGGGGGAATGACAATCATTTGAACGTCAGACCTGGTGAACTGGTCCTGAGTCTCCTCTGAGATCAGTAAGCGCTTTGAACCTGCCTGTCCTCTTGGGCTTGGAGGAGTGTTTCTGGCTGCAGGACTGCCTGCCACCTCAAGGATCATGGGACAAGCGATGCCGGCAAGTGTCAAATGGTGGGTAAAAGCCAGGACCATGCAGTCACACATAACGGGATTTGGGTTCTGGCTTGGTCTCATTACTAGCCCTATGACCTCGAGTAAATTGTCTAACCTTTCTGGCACCTTAATTTTCCTTATCTGTAAAATGAAATGCTAAATCTACTTTAAGAGCTTGATGTCAGAATTAATGAGATAACAAACATAAAACACTCAGGAGAGCTCCTGGCACATGGTATAAACGCTTAGTAAGTGACTATAGTTAGTCCTGACCTTGTGTGTAGCATACTAGACTAAGCAGGGGCTGCAATCACTTTGGGCTGCAGTTATCTTGGTCATTTATTTGACGGCTATGCAAGAACGTAACTTCAAGAGAGCAGGAATATTGATGTTTTAGGCACTATTTCATTTCTAGAAGTTTTTTGTTTTTTTTTCTGGCTTTTTTCATGCTGCATAGCTTGTGGGATCTTAGTTCCCTGACCAGGGATCGAACCCATGTCCACTGAAGTGGAAGTGCCGAGTCTTAACCACTGGACTGCCAGGACCTCCCAAGGCCTGGCACATCTTAAAGGCTCAAGGGCTGTGTCTTATTCCTCTCCAGGTCCGGAGAGTTCCTCTCCATAATGGCAGAGAGCAGCCCAGAAACAGGTCAGGGTCTGGCCCAGACTCCCCTTGAAGACTAAGCAGGGGCTGCAATCACTTTGGGCTGCAGTTATCTTGGTCATTTATTTGACGGCTATGCAAGAACGTAACTTCAAGAGAGCAGGAATATTGATGTTTTAGGCACTATTTCATTTCTAGAAGTTTTTTGTTTTTTTTTCTGGCTTTTTTCATGCTGCATAGCTTGTGGGATCTTAGTTCCCTGACCAGGGATCGAACCCATGTCCACTGAAGTGGAAGTGCCGAGTCTTAACCACTGGACTGCCAGGACCTCCCAAGGCCTGGCACATCTTAAAGGCTCAAGGGCTGTGTCTTATTCCTCTCCAGGTCCGGAGAGTTCCTCTCCATAATGGCAGAGAGCAGCCCAGAAACAGGTGAGGGTCTGGCTCAGACTCCCCTCGGCACAACTTTGAACTGTCCACCAGACCAAACTCAGGGGCTGACAAGGATCCTTTGATGGTTTGTCACCACCTTTCCCATCTTATGGGTGCGGAAGCTGAGTCAACGAGTTTAAATCACCAGCTCAGGGTGACATACAGCTAGAATGTCAGGGTTGAAACTCGGGTCCGCAGACTCTGAAGGCCTTGATCTTTCCGCAAGGCCCCTGGTGTACAATTTCAGGTGTGCAAACAAGAGTCGTTATTATGATCTTTTTCTGGGAGAGAGAGAAATGCTCTTTTTGACTGGACGTATTAAGGTAAGTCTGGCGCTGACAATAAAGGTAGTTCCTCTGCTTCCAGGTGACCGGAGGGCGGGGTCAGCTGGGACGAGGGGCGGGGTCAGCTGGGACGCGGGGCGGAGTCAGCTGGGATAGGAGGGCGGAGTCAGTTGGGACAGCTGAGCCCTGCTCCCCTCCTACCCTGCTCCCTTCCCTGAAACCGCCTTGGCTGGCTGAAGCCAGGGAATCTCAAACCATGGCAGCAGCAACCTAGATAAGAAGTTCACAACAGTCTATGGCCATACCACCCTGAACGTGCCCGATCTCGTCTGATCTCGGAAGCTAAGCAGGGTCGGGCCTGGTTAGTACTTGGATGGGAGAAGTTCATAGCAAATGCAGATGCCAAGGTCTCACCCAGACCTGCTGACTGTCAATCTCGGGGGGTGGGAGGTGGGCGGGGGCAGGGGTCAGCTTCCTAGATGTCTCTTCCCCCGTTACTGAAGCTTGAGAATCACCGCCTGGGCTCAGGCCCCTCCGAGATGGGCCTCCCAGCTCTTCCACCCAAACAGTCTGTCAGAAGCCCAGACAGTTTCTGCATCATGCCCTGTGATGCACCCGCAGCCCCAGGACCGGAAAGAACCCAGGCCCTAGACCCAGGAGAGCTTGGGGCCTCAGAACTTGAGGTGGGACCAGGCAGGGGGGCTGGCAAACCTGGTGTGTGTGGAAGGCCTGCTCATGACATCAGGGGGAGAACTTTTTATGTTTCACTTGCTGATCTCAAGATTCCTCTGGATTGACTAAGCCAGAGCAGGGAAAACAGACACTGGCAGATGCCAGCATCCCAGTGGATCACGGGAGCAGAAGACAAAGAGAAGAATTTCTTGAGAATCCCTTGGACTGCAAGGAGATCCAACCAGTCCATCCTAAAGGAAATCAGTCCTGAATATTCATTGGAAGGACTGATGCTGAACCTGAACCTCCAATACTTTGGCCACCTGATGCCAAGAACCAACTCATTGGAAAAGACCCTGATGCTGAGAAAGATTGAAGGCAGGAGGAGACGGGGGACAACAGAGGATGAGATGGTTGGATGGCATCACTGACTCAATGGACATGAGTTTGAGTAACTCCAGGAGTTGGTGACGGACAGGGAGGCCTGGCGTGCTGCAGTCCATGGGGTCGCAAAGAGCCGGACACAACTGAGCGACTGAACTGAACTGAAAGAAGGGAAGCGCAGGACAGGCGTCGGCGAGGTGGAGGGAGGCTGAGTGCTCTGCAGAGAAACCCTGCCAGGGTTGGGGAGGCTCCTGGAGAAGATGGGGCATGTCTGGGGTATTTAGCTTGTTTGCTGAGTGGTGTGAGATGTCCCTGCCTGAGCTGCCCCGGTCCTCCAGTAAATTCTATTAAACCCATGAGCATATGGTACGAGTGATTTTCATTGTCGAAAGCAAAGAAGGGTCAGGGGTTCATGTGGAAGACCAGGATGATTCAGGCTCCACTCAACAAACAACCTGGGATCCTGGGTTCTGGGAGGAGCTGGAGAACACAGGGACCCCTCCCCCAGGGGGGCTCACAGAGTCTGGGGGCTTTGAGCTTCTACAGACCACCAACCGGAGGAGTCCACCAGATGTTCCCTAATCTTGGGGGGGAGGGAGGCCCTGAGCCAACCACTCTCAACCGACTGAAAAGTGAGAAGACAAAAGGAAAATGTGGTTTGGCTCCATAAACGCGATACTAATTACAGCCATTTGTGCAAACTGCTTTCCATTAGGGCTTAATTACTTGCCATGCAGTATAATCACAATTACGCATTACATGACCTACATGTCAGATTTGCTGAGTTTTATTTGCCTCCACGTGGGCTGGTCTTCCTCATGTCCTGAGGAAGTCTGGTTGTTTTCTAGGCTATTAGTGTCTTTATTTATAACTTGAAAAAAAAAAAAGTATAGGCACAATACTCAATGTATGCGTAATTCTCTCCTCTAAGGGGTGGATTACCTCATGCGGCTCTAATGTCAGTATATTGTCCAGTACGGGGGCTTGGCCAAAAAAAGAGAATGTGAATTCTATTAACACTTTATATCTGTTTGCCCTTTTTTATTTAAGAGACCTATAAAGCGTCCCTCACCAGACCAATTAGATTCCTGCACTCTTCTAAAATAGAACTTAAATAATCATTCCCAGCCAACATTAATAGCTCAATCTAAGTCCATGCTTCAAGGAAGATAAAAAAATACAGAAACAACTCCTCAGGGTGAAACAAAGCAGGACCCTATGGTCTTTGCCCCCTCCCTCCACCGCCCCATGTCCTCTGCTTGCCTTTTATCTGTAGAAAACTTTGGTCAATGAATAAGTTTAATCAGAGAAATGAGAAATACAGAAACAAAGGAAAACAGTCAAAGGAGACCAAATAATAATAATACAGTCGTTAAGTATAGTCAAGGACCTTTAGTTCCTTCTCAAGGACTACAGATAATATTCTGAGCCATATCCTGTGAGCTGTTTTACAAATACTAACACACCAGGGTGAAGAAGTTAACTGAACGATGATCAGACTGTATCCCATGACATAAGCTGCCACAATTCCAAGAACTGGCCTCAAAGAAATGGGAACAAATGGACCCTGGAACTGAAGATTACCTGTACATAAAACGACCACGATGACACTACCACCCATGACCAATTTGAAGATGACTGTCAGAGCCGACTGTGCTGTTTCTGCATGTAGCCCCCTCCTTCTATCTATAAAAGCTCTTGCCCCACTGGTTGCCCCTGGTGGGGCTGGCCTTTGGACAGATGTTGCCAGCATTCCCCCCACCCCCAGTTGCCAGCATTTGAAATAAAGCAAACTTCCCTTTTCCACCAACCTGGCCTGTTTATTGGCTTTTTGGGTGGTGAGCAGCCAGACCCCATACACCTTTAGGAAACAAGGGCACAGTTCATAACAACCGTGGATGAAAAACCTCTTCAGTGGTTCCCCCCTAAAGAACAGCTTAGAAGTCAAGGACAGCAGTTCAAGAATCCAAGGAAGCTATTTCTGAGAAGGAGCGATCTTCTAAACTCTTCCTGATGGCCTACTGTGTGCCTGGCTCTGGCCTTAGTGCTGTGAAGGCAGAGTGAGGGGCAGGGCAACACAAAATATGTGGCTTAGACAAGCTTGTTTCTGTTTTTTAGGGAAATGATGACTTGGTTGAGTGGGGGTCACAGGTGAATTAAATGGGCCCAGATAAAAGAAGAGAGAGTGAGAAAGCTGAGGAGGACAGAACAGACACATCGGCAAAGCAATCTTACTTCTGCAGGTCTTCTCATCCGAGTTGAGGATGTAGCCTTGCTTGCACCTGCAGACGTACGAGCCCGGAGTGTTGATGCAGAAGTGGGCGCAGTTATGTTCCAGGATGCTGCACATGTGGACCGCTGAAAGGAAAGACGTGGATGTTAGAGCAACAATGATGCCTTCTCTAACTTCATCCTCCGGCAAACAGTCATCCAGAAGCTACACCATGAAGGGGCAAGCACGACCCAAAGAGAAACAAGCTGCAGGCCCTGCCCTCAAGGCGGGATTACAGCCTTTGGTTGGACAAGAAAGTTCTACACAAATGCCACTGTCAATAAATTAAGAGATTGGGATTGCATATATACACTACCATGTGTAAAACAGATAGCTAGTGGGAACCTGACATAAAGCACAGGAAGCTCAGCTCTGTGCTCTGTGATGACCTTGATGGGTGGGTTGGGAGGGGGTTCAGAGAGAGGGCCAAAAGGGAGGGGATATATGTAAACATATGGGGCTTCCCAGGCAGTACTAGTGGAAAAGCACCTGCCTGCCAATGCGGGAGAGGTAAGAGATGCAGGTTTGATCCCTGGGTTGGGAAAATCCCGAGGGCATGGCAACCCACTCAGTATTCTTTCCTGGAGAATCCCATGGACAGAGGAGCCTGGCAGCCTACAGTCTATAGGGTTGCAAAGAGCCGGACATGACTAAAGCGACTTAGCACTTAACATGTGGCTGATTCACTTCTTTGTACAGCAGAAACTAGCAAAACACTGTAAAGCAATTATGCTCCAATTAAAAAAGTATGTATAGACAGAGGGCCATGGAGGGTCAAAGGAAAATGAAGTTAGGCTGAGTCATAGGAAATTGTTGATCTCCAACTAAAAATAGGGGCTTCCCAACTGGCTCAGGGGTAAAGAATCCGCCTGCCAATGCGGGAGACCCAGGTTTGATTCCTGGGTCGGGAAGATCCCCTAAAGAAGGAAATGGCAACCCACTCCAGTATTCTTGCCTGGGAAATCCCATGAACAGAGAAGCCTAGCAGGCTACAATCTATGGAGTTGCAAGATTCGGACACAACTTAGCAACTAAACAATACAACAACAACTAAAAACAGGTCAAAAGTGACCTATGAAAACAGAAATTTCACAGTTCAATTAATAATATCCAATTGGTGAGCACAGGGTTTACTGCTACCAGAAGGGGCTTTGGTTAGTGTGTGGATTTTTCATAGGCAGAAATGGGCTTGGAGGAAAAGTTATTAGTTAAATAAGGATGTAATAAAGATTACCAGAGTCTCAGGCTCATCAATCCCAAGAATAATGTAATTTTTTAATAGGCAAAAGTGTTATAAAAATTTTGAAGTAAAAAAATGCATTCATATGTTTCCATAATATTTATGTCTCAATTTAAAAATATTTCCACATTTAATTTCTGAAGTACCTCAGCTTTCAGATTCATTGATTCTTGCATAAGTCTGTCCAGAGCTCACAAAAATTCTTTTTGTTTTTTAGATCTTAAATTTATTACTTGGCTTCATATAATTCAACCTGAACATATTTAAAATTACAAGCATCAGTATAAACAGAGTACAAACTATGCAAATGTTCTCATAAACAAAAAGGATGTCCATATGTAGAAATTTATTTTTATAAAGCTAAAACAGAAGAGGCTTTCAATAGCTAAGAACAGTCTCCTTAACACTGTGTTGGAAAACTCAGCTTCTGATAAAATCGATGTCATATCCTAAGTATATGTCCCTTTACTCAAAGTAAGAAACATGGTGGGCAGTAAATGAAGGTAAAACTTTTTTATTTCATAACAATACAATTTAGAATGACTGTGATTGTTCTGAGTTTACAATTGTCTGTGTTTTAATTCCTAAGATATAAATAACACTGTGAGTGCATGCTAGTCACTTTAGTCATGTCTGACTCTTTGTGACCCTATGGACTGTAGCCCGCCAGGTTCCTCTGTCCATGGGATTCTTCAGGCAAGAACACTGGAGTGGGGAGCCATGCCCTCCTCCAGGGGATCTCCCCGACCCAGAGACTGAACCAGTGTCTCTCATGTCTCCTGCATTGGCAGATGGGTTCTTTACCACTAGTACCACCTGGTAAGCTCATAAATAACATTAGGAAAGCTTCTAGATTAAAATCAGTCATTTTTACTTCAGTGTGAAAGAAATACCTGGGGATTTTTTTGTTTATTTTTTAATTTATTTTGGCTGTGCTGGGTCTTAGTTGTGGCACATGGGATCTCGCATGGCATGTGAACTCTTAGCTGTGCCTGTGGGATCTGGTTTCCTGACCAGGATGGAACCCAGGCCCCCTGCATTGGGAGTGCGAAGTCTTAACCACTGGACCACTACAAAAGTCCTGAAATATCTGTTTTTGTGACCATGAGCAGTTTTCTTAACTTTTTAAATATTATATGGGAGTAAAAATAGTATTAACTTCATAAGGGTCTTGATGCTCTGATCACTCACCTAGAGCCAGACATCCTGGAATGTGAAGTCAAGCAGGCCTTAGAAAGTATTGCTACGAACAAAGCTAGTGGAGGTGATGGAATTCCAGTTGAGCTATTTCAAAACCTGAAAGATGATGCTGTGAAAGTGCTGCACTCAATATGCCAGCAAATTTGGAAAACTCAGCAGTGGCCACAGGACTGGAAAAGGTCAGTTTTNGAAACTCCAATACTTTGGCCACCTCATGCGAAGAGTTGACTCATTGGAAAAGACCCTGATGCTGGGAGGGATTGGGAGTAGGAGGAGAAGGGGATGACAGAGAATGAGATGGCTGGATGGCATCACCGACTCGATGGTCATGAGTTTGAGTAAACTCCGGGAGTTGGTGATGGACAGGGAGGCCTGGCGTGCTGTGATTCATGGGGTTGCAAAGAGGCGGACATGACTGAGCGACTGGACTGAAAACTGAAACAGAAGGGTTAAAGTAATTAAGATGGTAAAGTGCTTAAAACACTGCCCAGGGGAATGTTTGATATACATTAACTGTATGTAGCAAAGGAGAAGTGTGGTGGACTTTTATTTTACATGCCTGGGTTCATCCTATATATATTCGTCTTCAACTTGGCTTTTCATTCAACATTAATAACAGATTCTATCTCTACTGATATATACTCTCTTTCATGGAATCTAAGATCCATCCAGTTTCCAGAGATGTTCAAATGTGAGGACACAGACAGTTGATCCTAATTATTCACGGATTCCATATCTGCAAATTTGCCTACTTGCAAGAATTTATTTGTAACCCTAAAATCAGTATTCACAGTGTTTTCATCATCATTCAAGGACACGTGCAGAGCAATGAAAAATTTAAGTTGCCTGATGCACTCATTCCCACCTGCAGCTGAGCAGGAGATGCCCTGCACTCCTGTTTTCTGCTCTCAGGCTGTGAACAAGTGTCCTTTTCAAGGTCTATTAGGTGCCACACCTTTTGTGTTTTTGTCGGTGATTTTGCTGTTTGGGATGGCCCCAAGCGTAGTGCTGAAGTGCTCGTGTTTGCTGAAGTGAAGTATGTCTGGTCTTCCTAAGTATGAGAAGGCTGTGAAGTGCCTTTCAGAGAAAATGTGTGTTTAATAAATTTCATCCAGGCATGAGTGATAGTGCTGTTGGCTGTGAGTTCAATGTTAATGAATCCACAATATATAAATAAGTGAAAGTCACTCAGTCGTGTCTGACTCTTTTCGACCCCATGTACTATACAGTCCATGGAATTCTCCAGGCCAGAATACTGGAGTGGGTAGCCTTTCCCTTCTCCAGGGGGTCTTCCCAACCCAGGGGTCGAACCCAGGTTTCCTGCATTGCAGGCGGATTCTTTACTGGCTGAGCCACGAGGGAAGCCCTTAAGGTGTTTCTAAACAGAAACACACATAAAACAAGATAATATATTGATCAGTTGACAACAATGCTGGACCAGAGGCTCAGAGGAACCTAACCCTGTATTTCCTCTAGGAGCAGTGGTTCATACTTAGTAATTCAGTATTCACCAGGACTTTATAAAACATCATTACCAAGAATAATGAGAATCAACTGTACATCTTAGATTTGATCAAGTACATTGCTGCTAAGTCACCTTCAGTCGACTCTTTGTGACCCCATGGACTGTGGCCCTCCAGGCTCCCCCATTCCATGGCATTTCCCAGGCAAGAATATTGGAGTGGGGCACCATTTCCTTCTCCAGGGGATCTTCCCAACCCAGGGATAGAAACTGCGTCTCCTGCATTGACAGGCAGGTTCTTTACCACTAGCGCCACCTGGAAAGCAGGTGGTCAAGCACATTAGGTCTGGTTTATTTCTTTTAATTGCTTTATCCATTGGTCATGTGACTATGCCTCATTTTATTTAGCCATTTCCCCAACCAGTCCACATTTTCACTTTCCCAACGCTGTGACGAGCATTCCCAAACACATCTCCTTGAGCACATGTGCAACTATTTCTCTAGGACTAGGTCCTGCTTTAAATAGATAGCATCTAATTGCCTTGTAAGGTAGCTCACACCAGCAATGCATGAGAGTAATGATTCCCACTTCCTCCAAACTTTAGCACTCAGGATGAGCAAACATTAAGTTTTGACAGGGAAAAATCATTATCCTGTTTTTAATTTGCATTTGCTTTGCACCCCTGGAAAGCTCTCTTCTTTTCCAGGCTGCTGGCGTCAAATTACCCACGGACATAGAGGTGGTTCTTGTGCAACTCTCAGCATGTCATGATTCTCCTCCGTAATGAAGAAAATCTGAAGTCTAGGCAACCAGCAACACAGCTGTTACCCACTGGTGCGAGGCCCAAGTGATGAGCCCGCTGCCAGACTTCTTACAGAGACCCTGACAGGATTTAGACAGGAGACGTGAGGCAGAGAAAATAACTGCTCAGCTGCAGACAGCATAGCGGACGACCTCTGGGAACAGATTAAAGCCGAGCTTCACCAGGACCTTGCGTGAATTCCTTAATTTCCCTGAGCTCCACTTTCTTCACTTGTCGAATAGGGAAATTAAAAGAACTACTGCATAAGGTTTGGAGTGACAGCTTGTTACTAAGGCTTGTTTTGGCTATGTACTATAAAAGAAACTGGAACCAGGAATTTGGTGTAATGGAAAGAGCACTGGATTAGAAGCCAGAAGACCT